GAAGAGTCTTCTAATGAATAGATTAATATTAGTCATGTGGAATATGAAAATAACAATTATGGGAGAAAAAAGTTGAAATTTAAAAGACATAAATTAGTTAAATTATATGTCATTCGAATGGAATGAATGGAAAATAATTTTTTCTATATTTTTTTAATGTAATTTTTTCATTACCTTTTTCCTGCAACTTGAGCACCTGCTTCCTCCAGTCATCCTCCTTCTTCACCAACCATTCTTTTTCTTCTTCAAGTAGCTTTACTTCAGCTTCCCACTTCTTTTTTTCTTTATCATCACCCCATTCTTCTCCTGCTAGCTTTACCTTTAACTCCCCCAATCTCTTCACCTTTCCTTCCACCTTGAACTCCTCCAACTTCCTTTTTGCTTCCTCATACTCCTTCTCAGCATTCCTGAGAGTTGACATTTTGTAAAATTATAAAAAAAGATTTATAAAAAAATTATTTTATTGCAACAATTAACTGTTTCTAATGCATAATTTCGACCAATGATAAATTAGTGGACACATGACTTGGAATTAAAAAAAATGACAAAAGAGAATTATTTTTTATAAAAATACATAAAATATAATTTAAAATCGTCAGAGCACTTGCATGGGAGGAAAATACTCAGACCCAAAGCCATTTGTAAGTATTACCTATTTTTTGAGCACTGACAAAAATTCAACTTTCACTAATACTACTGCTATTATTATCAATAATGTTATTATTAATATTTGTATCCTCTTTGCTTCATTATTCTCATCAAATTCACTTTCCACTTCTTTCTGCTTTTCTTTATTGCCCTATTCCTGAATTCTTCTATCATTTTCCTTCTAGGATTTATTTTTCATTGGTAGAAGTTTTTTAATAGTAGAGCAGTGTTGAAAATTTCAAATTAACTATCTCAATGTGCTCTATTGCAAAGCATGCAGTCACATATGTGATAGAAAAAAATTTAGGATTATGCACAAACCACTCTAGTGAGAAAGTTACTATTTCTTTAGATGTAATTTATTTATTTTTATAATTTATTTAATTCAAAATTCTAATTGTTTTATATTCTTCTTCACTAATACAGTGCTTTAAAGCATATTTTTGATTATCTTGATTTGGTTGATAATTGCAATAAATCCCTATATCTATAGATACAATTATCAGATGCACACAGAGTGGTATTGTTTAGTTATGATTTGGCAACCAAAAATATAGATTTTTGACATTACTTAATTGGATTGAAGCCAGTTGGTATTAGTAAAGGTATTCATAAAGTCATGACAACAGCAAATATTCCCAATTTGCATAATTATAATGATATAAGTGACTTCATCTTAAAGTATGCATAGATATTTATAAATAAATATAGTTATATTAATATAGATACACACACTTTTTCATCCTCATACTTACTCATTAATTAATTTTAGGAATGATGGATGTATATCAGAGAGTAAGAAGGAAGAAAGTGGAATGGAGGAGAGATCAGTGACACTAGCACAAGATTATATTGGTAGGAATTATAAAAAGCTGATACAAGAGCAATTAAATCAACAGAGATATGGAATTACAACTAATTAAAATACAAAATGGATTAATGTTAATTTATTGTTTCTGATTTCATTAATGAATTATCCAATAAATTTACATGTGCATTTTATATATATATATATATATATATTATACATACATAGTGCATAAAACTCCACAAGAAATCAAAAAGATGGAGAAAGAAAGAGAAAGGCATAAACAATTAAGTGACAAGAAGAAAAGAACAAGAAAAAAATGTCGAAAGTAAAGCTCCGAACGAGCCGAGCCGAGCCGAGTTTATACTCAGCTCGAGCCAGCTCGCATACAGAAAAGTGTTGGCTCGAACTCGGCTCGAGCTCGAAATTTGATACTATTTTTTTATAAAATAATAATCGGTAACTAAAAAATTCCGAAAATTTTAAAAAATTCAA